ACATAAATACATTTTTCTGTTGAGTATATGCCCAGGAGTAAAATTGATGAGTCACAGGGAATGCATAAATACAAGTTTAGATGATTCCGGTCAAAACCTTTCTACAGTGGATACCCACCAACAATGACTGAGAGACCTCCAGGTACTTCAGACATGCCGATACCTAATCTATTTGATTTTAGTCACTCTGGCAGGTATTTTGTAACATGATATTGTAGTTTTATTTGCATTTCTGGGATCGTTAGTGAGGTTGAACTTCTTTTTAGTTGTTTATTAATCCACTTTCTTTTTATTTTAATTTTTTATTTTGAGAGTACGTTTATTAAAGCTGAGGACAGTGAAACAAAGGGCTTAGGGTAGAAGAAGCAACAGGAGAGATGCTAGGTGGTGCTTTGCTTTGGCTCTCTAGAAATGTTACAGGAATAGGAGAAAGTGAGCCAGGGTGGGGCTGCTGTTAGCTCACTGAAAAGTCAGAAAAGGGAGGCCTTGGAGATGGTACAGAGGGTTAGCCCTAGATAAGCTGCTGCTGCCCACTGCTCTGCTAGTTGCAAGTCTCAGGGAGAACCTTAGAACTTAGGGAGAAAATGTAAAGATGTACACCTGAGGAAGAAAGGCATGGGCGTGCTCCAGAGAGAGCCCACCTCAGTCCACTTTTGATAAGTACTTTTGACAATTTTTCTATTAAGCAGTCTTTTATTTAATTGATTTGAAGGAGTTCTGTATAAACTCATCTAGTGTTTTGTGTACTACTGAAAATTTTTTCTCCTATGCTGTGCTTAATCTTTTAAATTATTTTTTTTATTTATTTAGAGAGAAGGGAAGGGAGGGAGAAAAGAGAGAGAGAAAAATTCATGCAAGAGAAAAATATCAATCAGCTGACTCTTGTATATACCCTAGTCAGGACTGAATCCATAACCTAGGCATGTGCCCTGACTGGGAATTGAGCCAGTGACCTTTTACATTGTGAAACAATGCCCAACCAACTGAGCCACATGGGTCAGGACATACTTCATCTTTTCGATGAATGAATGACTCTACTTGGTAAACAGAAATCCTCATTTTAAAGTAGTCCAGTATATCAGTCTTCCTTTGTGCTGAGTTCTTTCTCTCATCTTAAAGTTATCTTTTCTATTATAAGTTCTTAAATGTGTTCTGCCATGTGGTGTTCTAGATGCTTTATTATTTTATATTTCATTTTTTATTTTGCTGCTGTTGTTTTATATTTCTGAGGTGTTTCTTTTTAACCCACCTAAGAACTAATTTATGTAAATGGTATAAGGTAGGGGTCAGGATTAACTTTCCCCTTTATGGATAGTGAGTTGACCTAATACCATTCATTGAGGAAAAAAGATTTTCCCCTTTGGAATACGCTTCCCTGTCATGTTTCCCAGAAAGCAGGTACCTATAGATGTTGATCCATAACAGCACAACATTCTGTTCTATTGCTTTTTGTGTCTTAATGATCACAGTCTTAATGAATATAGTCTTTTAATCCATTTTGCTTTCAGATTAAGTGCATCTGGAAAAATTCTTCTTCAAATTTGTCTTGATTATTTTTAGCCCCTTTATGTCTGTATAATTTTAAGGTTAGCTTGTTGTTTATTACACACACATACCCACTTGGTGGATTTTCACTGGGATAGCATTAAGTTTATGAAGCAGCTTAGGAAAAAGTAAGGTTTTTTTAAATAATACTGAGTCTTCCAACCTGTGAACATGTCTATTCTTTATATATATGTACATAATATTTATTGATTCCTTAGTGCAGGTGGCTGGGAACCAGAAGTCATGGGGGAAGAGTGACTGGGTGCCTTGTACCCCTGGGCGCCCCTTTCTAGATCTTTTGCAGTTGGGTCTCAGAGGGGTGCGCAGGATGGCCCTGCCTGGACCCTGCCATTTGTGATGCCCTCGGGGACTCCTGGCCATGTTCCCCAGACTGGCAGCCATGGCAGAGGCAGCCCAGGGCCTGGATTACCAGGAAAGTGTGAAACCATCCATTTATTTACATTTGTTAATCACTTATCAAGAAGTGGATTATTTATTTTTTTAAATAAATTATTTATTTTAAAAAGTAAATTTATTTTTAGAGAGAGAAGAAGGGAAGGAGAGGGGGAGAGAAACACATCAATATGTGGTTACCTCTTGCACACCCCACACTGGGGACCTGGCCTGCAATCCAGGGATATGTTCTGACTGGGAATTGAACCAGTGAACCTTTGGTTCACAGGCCAGCACTTGATCCACTGAACCACACCAGCCAGGGCTCAAGGGGCAGTTTAGAATTCCATATGCAGTATGATTCCAGTGGTCAATTTCACCAGAGGTCTGGCCTTTGGAAAACATTTAGAAATTAAAGACTTTGGACCCTAGCTGGTGTGGCTCAGTGGATTGAGTGCCAGCTTGCAAACCAAAGGGTTGCCAGTTCAATTCCCAGTCTAGGGCACATGACTGGGTTGCAGGTCAGGTCCCCAGTTGAGGACCTGTGAGAGGACTGATGTTTCTCTCCCTTTCTTTCTCCCTCCTCCTCTCTCTAAAAGTAAGTAAATAAAATCTTTAAAAAAAGAAATTAAAGACTTTGAAAATTCCACTTAGAAACTGTCATTACTTGCTAATTTTAAAGGGTCTCCTTCAGACCCTACTCCAGCTGTGAAGAAGCCTAGAGAGCTCTGAGGGAAACCTAGGGCTGTTCTGCAGAGTCTCTAAGCCTGAGTTGAGAAGCTCATCCTTTGACCAAAGGAGATTTTGGGATGAAGTGTCAGGATGGGGGGAGCTTGGTCTGTGGGTGCTGGTTTTAGGACACAAGTAAAGTAGAACTTTGAAGAAAAGAGAAAGACCTTCTGGACAGAGAGTATGGTATTCCTGAGACAGCAGGCCCTGGGCCCTGGAGAGGGGATGTGGCCTTGTTCACAGTAAAGTGGAGGGAGAGAATCCGTTTGGCACCCAAACCTTGTTTTGTTGGTGCAAATCAGCCATTTCGCTTGGCACATTAAATGTGTTCACAATAGGGTAGTACCTCAAACAGTCTAATTCTAAAATACTTCTAGTTTCCTAATTCAGTGTGGAAGGATCCTTGCTTTTCCTCCTGCAATAGCTCTTGTAAGTGGCAGGGTGAGCTACCTTATGTTTATCTATTCTAAAGAACTAATCAAAATGGGAAATAATTTTTAGGTCAAAATATTTGAATATTCAATTTACCATTATGCCACATATATTGCTTTTTTAAAAAAATACTTATATTTATATTTATTTTTAGAGAGAGGGGGAGAGAGAAAGAAAGGGAGAGAAACATCAATGTGTGGTTGCCCCTTGCACGCCCCCTACTGAGGACTTGGCCTGCAACCCAGGTGTGTACCCTGACTGGGAATTGAACTGATGACCCTTTGGTTTGCAGGCTGGCATTCAATCCACTGAGCCACACCATCAGGGCACATATATTGCTTTTAATAAACATTCAGATAAAGAAATTTCAAAAAACTCATAGATATTAATAAAAATCATTTAAATATGATAATTAGAAATAATATTTTTGTCTATTTGGGTTCAGGCCTCACATTTTTATTGGATTTCTTTAAAAAATTGTATTTATTGAGAGAAGGAATGAGAGGGAGAAAGGGAGGGAGAGAAGCATCGATGTAAGAAACATCAATTGGTTGCCTCTTGTATGCACTCCAACAGGGATTGAACCCACAACCCAGGCATGTGCCCTGACTGAGGACTGAACCTGCAACCTTTCACTTTGTGGGACTATGCCCCAACAACTGAGTCACACCAGTCAAGGCCGGGTTTTTTCTTAGATATTTGGTTAATGGTTATATAGTGGTAAAGTATTTTTGTTTTAATTTTCAGCTGCTTGTGTTATTGTACAATCCAGTTGATTTTGGTATATTGGTCTTGTTTTATGTATCTTGCAAAAATTCACCTCATCTAATATTTGTAGAATATTGGGGACTTCTCTGCAAACAAAGTTAGGACATATATAAATAATGACATTCTCTCTCTCTCTCTCTCTCTCTCTCTCTCTCTCTTCCTTATATATATATAAGCTGGTTACAGAGCAGTCCGTTGTTGCATAGAGTTGATAGGGGGCATCAGCCATCTCTCAATCTTAAGGTGAAAATTTTTACATATAATTTTTACTGCATTTTGTATACTTGATCACATTAATGAAATTCTCTTTATTTCTTGTCTACTAAGTATCTTTCATAATGAGCACTGACTTTTATTAAACATTTTAAAATTAAAAATTTAAATCTATCTAGGCATATGATTATAGTGGGTTTTTTTTCTATATTCCATTAATGTGGTAGGTCACATTGATTTTTAAATTTTAACTCTTCATTTAGAAAGTAAACCCTGGGTTTGACTTGCAAATAATTTGCTTTTGATTTTTACACCTACATTCATGACAAATTGGCCTGTGGAGTTCCTTTCTTTAATGTATTGGCAAGGTTTTGTTATCAGGGAGCTGCTAACCTCCTTAACCAAAAGGGAAGTGTTCCCACTCTTTTTTTTTTTTTTAATGCTCTGGGAAAGTTTGCATAAAATTAGAATTCTTTCTTTCTTCATTGTCTAGTAGAATTCATCCATGAGTTTATCTGGACCCAAACTTTTTTGTTTGTTTTTAAGTATCTCAGTGCTGTAATTAATAATACATCCTTTCTATCTCTCCAGCTTGCAATGTTTAAGCATCTACCAGTTATTGAAACAAAACCCTAGAGAAATAACTAAGAGGAGCTTGAATTTCTGAAGATTAGTCTCTCTGAAAATTCGTGCTAAGAATGGCTTCATATCTCAGAAATTCCTATCAAGCTAAACCATCGAGGAATGATCATGAGCCAGAAAATCTAGAGAGTAAACCTAGCCAAGGACCTGCCATCCAGGAGGGAGATGGGATCTCCACATTTCCAAGTACTGAGCTCAGCTTATTTCAAAATAGCGATAACATGTGTGCAAGGCAGGAACTGCAAAGACTCTATGAATTATTTCACTCATGGCTGCAGCCAGAAAAACACAGCAAGGATGAAATTATTTCTTGTTTGGCACTGGAGCAGTTTATGATCAGTAGGCACTGCAGTGACAGGTCCATGTTGAAGGAGAAATGGGAAGCAAGTGGCAGAAACCTGGAGACATTCATGGAAAGCCTGAGTGATGATTGCCTGAAGCCCCCTGGCTTGGTGAGTGGAGGGTTCTGACCCCTGAGGTGAGGGGCTGAGAAAAAAAAGGAATAGTAGTCTATTGGGGGTGCCTGGAAGTAAAGAAAAAAGAGTAGACTCAGTTGCTAGTCCTCCTTTGGGAGGACTAAAGGGAATCTTTACCATTCTAAGTGAACAAGGAAAAAATTCCATATTCATATATTCAGTGGGACATGTAAGAGCCAGTGTATTAATAGATACTCATTAATACTCTTTTAAGCTGGTGAAGTGGTAAGAGGGCTCATTAACAAAATCATATTTGAGCAGACACCTCAAGGATGAGAAATGACTTAACGTGAACTAGTTCTTCCCTCAGAAGGATACATGAACAAGAAATTACCATGAATGTAAGGCCATCAGAGGTAAAAGGCAGGATAGTGGGCACAGGAGCATGCAGTAGAGGGATCTTGGGAAAGCCCAATGAGGGTAGGTTTTTCACATGTGTCTGTAGCTGAAGAGATCCAGATATGACAGTGATCAGGCTTTGTTTACAGGTCCATGTCCACATGCGGGGACAGGAAGCCCTCTTTTCTGACACTGTGCCCTTAAGAGAAGTCATTGTTCACTTTAAGAAACAATTGTCAGCAGAAACCCCAACAGTGGCAAATGTGGGAACACTCCCCTCGACTGCCCAAGATGCTTCTCTGCAAAGAAGACAAGGTGAGTGAGGCGGGGCCCATGAACCAGAGGGCTGTTCTGTATAAACTCTTTCTTGGGTACAATTTCACTGAGTCATGTCTTTATTTTCATAGGAGATGAAGATAAAGAAAATGGTAGCAACATTTCTTTGAAAACTACTGAAGAAAATGTCAATATTACTAGTCAAGACCATCAAACACCTCCCCTGCTCATTATCCAGGGAGAGAACCATCCTGAGCCTGGCGGGGGAGATGTTTCTTTGGAGAATTCACTCAGCTCCAGAAGAGCAAGTCTAGGCAGCTCCAGGTCCCAGGGAGGGTCCCCAAAAGGACCCTGTAATCAAGATGTCCTCATGGAGGTGAGACCAGCATTCCTCTCCAGGCTGTACCAGGTTACCCCTGAGCCCATTCCTACCCACCAGAGCAATGCTGGAAGCTCCACATGTTGGGGATCTAAAGAAAGATTCCAAAGAGCTCAAAGGTCATACCGATGTAAGAAGTGTCCCAAGATCTTTAGGTGTTTCTCTTGGTTAAAAGTCCATCTTAGAAGACACAATAATGAGAGGATATTTATTTGTGCTGTGTGTGACAAAGGCTTTTTCCAGGCCTCAGACCTACACATGCATCGGAAGATTCATCTGGGAGAGAAGCCTTTCAGGTGCAGCACCTGTGCCAAGTCCTTCAGCCACAGAACCAACCTTCTGGCTCATGAGAGAATCCACACGGGAGAGAAGCCCTATGTGTGTTCTGTGTGCCAGAAATGCTTCCGCCAGTCATCTACCTACCACCGCCACCTGAGGATGCACCAGAGAACTGCTTTCAGACGTGTTTCCTCTATACCTGAAGCTTCCTCTATGTAATGAATATAAATATGTCTTCAAGTACGTATATTTCCATAGTACTTCTCTATTTAGAACATACTTTATAACTTCTCAATCATATATTCCATTCATTTTCTCCCTCTCTAAAATGTAAGTTTAAGGAGGGCAGGGAATTTCTGTTTTGTTCAGCAAAGTGTCTCAGGTGCCTACAAAGTGGCTGACACATTTTATTTTCTTAAATATTTTTTTTTAATTTTTGGAGAGAGGGTAAGGAAAGGAGAGGGAGAGAAGTATCAATGTGTGGTTGCCTCTCAAGCACCCCCCTACTGGGGTACTGGCCCACAACCCATGCATGTGCCCTGAATGGGAATGGAACGGGTGACTCTTTGGTTCTTAGGCTGGCACTTAGTTCATTGAGCCACACCAGCCAGGGCTGGCTGACACATTTTAAATGACCAATAAATACCTGTTGAATAAGTGAAAGTGTAATGTTTGTTTACTTTTTAAAATCCAGTAATGTGTCCCATGTGAGAAGACAATGAGCCCCAACACTAGGACACAAACCTACCTACTACCCAGTCCTCTGTCAACACCCTTTACTTTCGAGCGGCCACAGGCACCTAAAAACATGGGGAGGGGAAGTGGGAAGCTGGGAAGAGGCCTTAGCTCATGAAACAGAACCTTATGTTCAAAGGATGTAATTGTTCCTTTGATTCACTGGAGTATCAATAGCTAAATAGGACATAAATATGACTGGTAACTGGAAGTTGTAGAATGCTATTTGATGAACAAATATCATAAAAGTCCAATGTTTTCCACTCATTTGTTCCAAAGATGGCAGGTATAGGTGGTGAAGGAGTTTATTTATCCAGCCAGTTTCAGTAAGCAGTTTGGAGAAAAAGAAAGGATTCTGTACGGCATACAGGCAAAAGCATGTGTGCTAGTTATTTGGAACCCAATTGTGAGTTGGTGTCCACTAGGAACTGGGGTTCAGTCCCACTGAGAGACTGGAAGTTGCCATGTAGGGATGGCTTAAATCATGGAAGAGGGTAATCTGCCAGGTAAATTGTGACATTTCTGTTTTCCTCTTTGCATTCATAGAAGGGAGGACTACCAGGTTGCAGATAAGGCTTCACTGTGTGGAGAAGCTGCCCTCGGCTTCTGGGGCTGTATTCAAATGTTTTACAGTATAAATGTTCTTTTTTTTTTTCATTAATGTTTTTTCTTTTATTGATTCCAGAGAGAGGGGAAAGGAGGAAGAGAAACATCGATGTGAGAAAGAAATATACATTGGTTCCCTCTTGCATGCTCCCTGACCGGGGAACAGGCCCACAACTCAGGCATGTGACCTGATCAGGAACTGAACTGGTGTCTTTTAGCTTTGCAGGATGATGACCAACCAACTGAGCCACACTGGCAAGGGCTTTTTCCATTTCTAAAATTTATTAATTTTCTTACTGAATTTATTGCAATGACTTTGGTTAATAAATTTATATAGGTTTCAGCTGTACAATTCTATAATACATCATCTGTATATTTCACATGTGCTCTGCCTCAGAACATTAGTCACTGTCCCATACCCAAACATAATTTGATAAGTTCCTCTCAGTTTGAGAAATATGATAGATTCCTCAAGGAATTTAATATATCTTAGCATATTGAGTAGGAAATACTAAATGGATAAACAATGTTTTTCTATAGTGTGGACACTGTCACTGAGGATTAGACAGGAGAGATCATCAGTAGCAGAGATAATTCCTAGTTCTTCTTAAGGGCATCCTAAGTCCCTCTTTTTCTTCCAAATTATGGCTCTGAATGAAGGTACAAAGAGTTATAAATCCACTATTGCTTCTGACTCCGTGCATTAAAATTGGTGGAAAATGGTTAACACATTCTGGCTAAGAGTAGATGCATTTTATGCCTGAATGAAAATATATGTTTATTTGAATTTGTAGTCTTTAGAATAATCAAGATAATACTTCTCACCTCATGGAGCATCCTGAGGTTCACAGAATGTGAAATATCTCCAAACAAGGGTTGTGTTGCAGACAACACTGCCAGAAACCTCCAAGAGCTCCTGAAACCCTAAGTTGTTATTTACAAGTGTCCTTCACAGTGACACAACGTATTTTTCAAAAATATATTTATTTATTGATGTGAGAGAGGGAGAGAGAGACTCCGGAGAAGCCTGGCACAACAGGAGTCTCTGGAGAAGTCATCCCCACTGTCAAGAGGTTGTTTGAGGATTGACAACCTGCAATAGCAGCTGGATAGGGCTTCTGAGCCTCAAACACCTTACAGCCTCTGTTCCACCCACAGAATTCATTGGTGGTAGCCACACAGAGGCTCCCAGAGGTGAGTGAGTGTTTTCTGCCCCCTCCACCCCTCCTCACCCGGCTGAGACCCCCAACCTGGTGAGGAATGCCTGTTACATCCTGCAGCAGCCTAGGCCCCGGTGTCTAGGATTATGAGGTTCACTGAAGTCTTGACTGTTCCCTTTTTTCCCCAAGCCCCACCAGCTTTATTAGGCTTTATGTTCTTTAAATGAGCATTTCATTTCCTTAAATGAGGAAATGATTAGGCCCTCAGGTCTCTAAACAGGAGGTAAATGCTAACACTTTTGATGACAGAAATTTTAGAGCTGGATTTTTACAGACAGCAGCACAACAGGCTCATAACTAAACACACCAAAACCCACCCTGGTTGGATAGTATATTTGGTTAGAGCATTGTCCTGATACCCCAAGGTTGTGGGTTAGATCCCAAGATGGGGCACATACAAGAACCAATGAGTGCATAAATAAGTGGAATAACAAATCTATGTTTCTCTCTACCTCTCTTTCCCTCTCTATCTCTAAAATCAATTTATGGCCCTGGCCAGGTAGCTCAGTTTGTTACAGCATCATCCCGATACACCAAGGTTGTAGGTCGATCCCTGGTCAGGGCATACATAAGAAGCAACCAATGAATGCTTCAAAAGCAGAACAACAAGTTCCTGTTTCTCTCCCCACAGAAAAATCACTAAACAAAAATTTTTCAAAAAATAATTAAATGACTTCAAAAAAATTAAATACACCAAAATCAAACACTCATGTCATCCCCTGTTCTGAGGCCCCAGGCAACTCAGCAGCAGCATGTAGTTGCATTTCATTGCTTGGCCATGTGTCTGCAGAGTAAAGTTTTTAGAGTGAGAGAAAATGAAAAGATTTCACAGAAACTACAACTAAGGAAAGAGAATAGGTGTCATGCAGCCCTAAAGCAGTTTGGGCAAAGGGATGGGATGTATCAGGTGTTGTCAGGAAGCATCATTTCTCATTATGTACAAAATGTATTTGTGGTCCAATCCCAGGAAACAAGAGACAGATTTATGTTTGTCTTTTCTACTAATTTCAGTGATATAGGTAAATGAATCTGACTCCCATCTACAAAATAGAAACTGACCAAATGACATTTGCAGTCAGGACAGTGGGTGCCAGGGCAACACCTGTGCATATGTGGGAAGGAGCATCTGAACCTGAGATAAAGGTTTGGGACACCATGATGTCATATCTTTGGTGTAAAATGATTATCATGTCACCTTTAATTTCATTGGCGAGACCTGCATGGGGAGTTAAGATGATCTTTGAAAAACATTGGCAGATTGTACAAATTACTAAATTACTGAAAGAAATTAATATTGAAGTACAAAGTTTTATATTAAAAACTGAAGATAGCTAGGGAAGAACTTACTTGTGAAAATGTTTTTTTGTTTTTTTTTTAAATCTCAGGGAACACAGAGCAGGCCAGCAAATGCTGTGATGTAGTAAGTGAGAGAATGAAACAGCTTTCTGTTATCCAGGATTATTAGTTATTTGCAAGTTTGTCTCAAAATATTATTTATTTCAAGTTTACTGGAATAGAAAGTATAGAAGCACGTGAGATAGAAAGAGAGGAAGATAAAAAGAGATGAGATAGAAAGAATAGCTGGGTAGTTCAGAAGAGCAGAAATCTGTGATGTCATTCAGTAAGTCTTATTCCAGAAATTATTGAGGTTCTTACAACTGTTGGGCACTTTGGTAGCTACACTGGACCTTCATTGTACAAAACACAGAATCTACCTTCTAAGGGAGAGACAGCATTATATGAAACCAAGTTATTACATAGTTTATTAGTAATGAGTTCTATGGAAAATCGAAAAGAGCAGGAAAGTATGATGAAACATTCACTGGTCAAGGAAGGGTGGCGACATTAAATAGGACATTCATCATAGACCTTGGAAGATGAAACTGAAGAAAATACATTGAAGACCTGGGGAGGCAGGTTTGATTTTTTCTTTGAAATCTGTAAATGTTCCTACCCTTCCTTACATTCATGTAATGATAGGACTACAACTAGGGTAAAATAATGAAGAGTGCCAAGTTGACAGTGTTTCTCCACTGGACCCACCTTCCTTCCCTTCCCTGTTCTTCTAGCAGAAAACAGTGCTGTGATCAAGATCCACTCACTCACTTTGCGTTGGAAGCCACCCATTTTGTCTTCTCTAGGACAGTATGTCTGAAGCTAACTACCTTTTCTACAATACAAAACATCTTCCCTCCTCCATCTTATTCCCAACAACATCCACATGTGGTGGTGTGGCCACAATAAACAATATGGTACTGGTGTCCCAACCTTCCTTCAGCTGATACTATTGCCCTACTCCCTGTCAGAACAAAACTGCTACCAGAGAGTGTGGTCATCTTTTGGTTCCTCTTCCACCACCCACTCCAGGAAGGTTTGTGTTTTATTAAGGAAATTGTCACTACAACCAATATCACCTAATTTGAGGTCATTTCAACTAAACTGTGAGGTTTAACTAGAGTGAAGAAAGCATGGAGAAAAGATGCTGATGTAGACAGGATATGGGGACCTGGTCTGCAGAGTCTCCAGGCCACTGTTAAGCATCTGGTTTCTACCCCAAGTAAGTGGATTTTTTTTATTTAGCTAATTTTAGAGGGAGAGAGGGAAACATCAATATGTTGTTCCACATATTGAGGTATTCATCAGTTGCTTGTATGTACCCTGACCTGAGATCAAACTTTCCAATTTGGTGTATCCGGTGATGCACTGCACTAACCACCCAGGGTCCAAGTGAGTGTTGACCAAAGTATGGTCAGAGGACTTGCCAGTTCCCATGGTCCCCTCTGTAAATTTGAGGCTGAAATGAAGAACAGTGATTTAGAAACCAGTACAGCAAGTTCATTGAGTCTGTTAAATCTGACTAAAATGTCTTCCATTCACATGAGTCAGGAAACAGAAGTGCTGAGTTTCATGGATGCTCTTCCTGTTGCTTTTCCTCCTACTCAATAAAGGACACACCCCAGCCCAGGCAGAGGCTGAGATTTCTAGTCTTTGGGAATAATTGAAATAATATTTTTTGCCTCAGGGAGCATTCTGAGCTCCCTTGAGTCTGAACTAATGTCTCCAAATACATAAAGGATCTGTTGAGAACAACACTCTCCAGACACCTGCCAAGCGCCCCTGAAAGCTAAAGTTCTTAAAAAAAAAAAAAAGATTTTATTTATTTATTTTTAAGGAAAGGGGAAGGCGGGGAGAAAGAGGGAAAAAAACATCAACATGTGGTTGCCCCACTGGGGGCCTGGCCCGCAACACAGGCGTGTGCCCTGAGTGGGAATTGAACAAAGAATTATTTTACTGTTGTTCAATTGCAGTTGTCTGTGTATACCCTGCACCACTCCTGCCCACCCCAGCCAAACCCACCTCCTTCCCTTGCTTCCACCTTGCTTGGTTTTGTCCATGTGTCTTTTATAGTTGTTCCTGAAAACCCTTCCCCCCTTCACCCCATTATCCCCTCTCACCTCCCGTCTGGTTACCATCAGATTGTTCTTAATTTCAATGTCCCTGGTTATATTTTGCTTGTTTTTTTTTTCTTTTGATGATTAGGTGCCAGCTAAAAGTGAGATCATATGGTATTTGTTCCTCACTACCTGGCTTACTTCACTTAGCATAATGCTCTCCAGTTCCATCCATGCTGTTGCAAAGGGTAGGAGGTCCTTCCTTCTCTCTGCTGCGTAGTATTCCATTGTGTAAATGTACCATAGTTTTTTGATCCATTCATTTACTGATGGGCACTTAGGTGGCTTCCATCACTTGGATATTGTAAATTGTGCTGCTATGAACATTGGGGTGCATAGGTTCTTTTGGATTGGTGTTTCAGGGTTCTTAGGATATAATCCCAGCAGTGGAATTGTCAGGTCAAAAGGCAGTTTCATTTTTAGTTTTCTGGGGAAATTCCATACTGTTTTCCACAGTGGCTGTACCAGTCTGCAATCCCACCAACAGTGCACTAGGGTTCCCTTTTCTCCACATCCTCTCCAACACTTGTTGATTTGTTTATGATGGCCATTCTCACTGATGTAAAGTGGTATCTAATTGTGGTTTTAATTTGTATCTCTCTGATGGCCAGTGATGCTGAGCATCTTTTCATATGTCACTGGGCCCTCTGTATATCCTCCTTGGAGAAGTGTCTGTTCAAGTCTTTTGCCCACTTTTTAATTGGGTTGTTTGTCTTCCTAGAGTTCTTTATATATTTTGGAGATCAAACCCTTGTCCAAGGTATCATTGGCAAATACGTTTTCCCATATAGTTGGTTCTCTTTTCATTTTAATGCTGTTTTCTTTAGCCATGTAGAATGAAAACTAAAGTTCTTTTTTAAAAAAAATATTTTATTTATTTTTAGAGAAAGGGTGGGAGAGGAACATTAATGTGTGGTTGCCTCTGACACATCTCCCACTTGGGACCTGGCCTGCAACCAAGGCATGTCCCCTAGACTGGGAATTGAACTGACAACACTTTGGTTTGCAGGCTGGCACTCAATCCACTGAGCCACACCAGCCAGGGCCAAAAGCTAAAGTTCTTAATTCCCAGGAGCATTCGTGCTGCTGCAACACTTTTTAAAAAAAATTATTTTAGAGAGAGAAAGAGAATCATCAACTTTTTATTTCACTTATTTATTCATTCATTGGTTGACTCTATGTCCCCCTACCGGGGGGATGGTGGCTTATGGAAGAAGATGCCTTAACCAAGGACAAGACAGGGCCAGGGCTGCTGCCTCAACTCATTTAATCCCCAAAGTGCGCGAATGGGACCCTAACACCCTGAACAGCGGAAGAAACTACATTACCCAGAGCCCAACGGGCCCAATGTGGGAGGGTTGGTCAGTGAAAGCCCCAAGCCCGCATTGCCACGCTGAGCCTGAGGTTGCTGCGTGACACACGCCACACGCGTCCACCTCTTGGCGGTCATTTTGGCTTCTCTGCTGGGCTCACGGAGTGAGAGCCTTCAAAGTCCAGGTCGCCACTGAGGAAGCGCCAGAGGTGTGGTCCCCGCTGTGCAGGGGTGCGTCCGAAGCTTGGCCACTGGCAGCGGGCTGAATTGGGGCCTCAGAGCCTCGCAGCCTCCACTCAGCCCACAGAGTCCGCTGGCCTCGGCCGCCCTGAGGCTCCCAGCTGAGGTGAGTGCACGACCCCCGGGCCCTCCCCCCTCAGCCCACCGAGCCCTGCAGCCCAGGGGGCAGGGTTTCAGTCACGTCCTGCAGCCCAGGCCCCGGTGTCCAGGACAGTGAAGCGCTCGCGGGGGGCACACAGGGTGTGACGGGGTGGAGAGGGTGACAGACTGAGGGGTTACCATGTGCCTGTGACGGGCAGGGTCCCGTCTGATAATCCGTGCTCTGTTTTGTGTCTAAAGGTGACAGAGAAGCTGAGGCGAAGTACTGCGTGAGGAGTTTTACTTTCATTCTCCAGAAGCAGAGGCTGTGGAGAGTTGTGAACAAAAGAGGGACCTTGGCCCAGATAGGGTTGTAACAATTTCCAAACACTGCTGAGAGTAAGGAGAGACCATAAGAGGTGATAGCTGTTGGGGGCAGGAAGATGAATCCTGTAAAAGGTGGTATTACTGGCAGTGTCTGCACTCAGGATGGAAGCCCTGAGGTAGCACAGTTACCTCCAGGGCACCTGGCCCCAGGCCGAGTGAGAGAGCACTTAGAGACCTGAGCCCCTGGGTCCTGGCAGTGGTGGCCAGCCTTTCAGCAGACCTTTCTCTTTCCACAGACTCCTGACACTGCAGAATCGCTTAGGGCCCTGGTTTGTGAAGCTTATGTCATGGCCTCCTACTCTTATAGAGGTGGTCTGGGACTGTGGTGCCACTTTTCCAGCTGTTGGGCCTGGGGACCTTGAACTGACACCAGGCCCAGGGTCCTTAGTTTAGGTTTAGATTTATATGAAGTGGTTCCTTTGTTTGGCAACCAGTGGAATGAGATGTGGGCAGTCCTCCCAGGGATAGATACCAGCTTGTGCAAAGGCTTGGAGGGAGGATTAGCTGGTACAGAACCTGCAGGTATCCTTTCTTTCATATAGATACTGGAAGCAATGGGACAGCATTTGGGTCTAAAGGCACTTTGTGACAAGTTGGCTGTCTATTTGGCAGGTGATGGGAGCAATGGGAGATATGAAGCAGTGGAGGCAGGTGATCCGGCCCAGGTCTCAATAGGCTCACTGGTTGTAGCACAGAGAAGAGTGTGAGTGTGAGGGACTTGGTAGGACCAGGCAAGAGGCTGCTTATATAATCTGGGTGAGTGTGAAGGACCAAGAAGGGAGCCGTGGAGGTAGGAGAAGCAGTTGGATTCTGGATGGGTGTTTTAGGTGTGGCTGTGTGGATTTTCTTAAAATTAAAAAAAATTATCTGTTCATTTTAGAGATAAAGAGTAACAGTGGACACAGACAACATAGAGGGAGACAAACATTGATTTGTAATTCACCTTATTAATGTATTCAGTGTTTGATTATTTTTATTTCTTAAAGACTTTATTTCTTTAGCTTTAGAGAGAGGGTAAAGGAGGGAGAAAGACAAGGAGAGAAACATCAATATGTGGTTGCCACTTGTGTGCCCTCTACTGGGGACCTGGCTTGCAACCCAGGCACATGCCCTGACTGTGAATTGAACTGGTCCACAGCCAGCACTCAATCCACTGAGCAACACCAGCCAGGGCCATTCGATTCTTATATGTGCCCTGACAAGGGATTGAACCCACAACCTTGGAATAATGGGAGGACAATCCAACCTACTGAGCAACCAGGGCAGGTTGCCACATGGATTTTCACATTGGGAGGGAGGGAGGGAGAGAGAGAGGTAGGTAAGTGTCAGGGATGATAACAAGTTGAGAAGTTTTGGTCCCACCATCAACTGAGGGGAAATCCACAGTAGTATGAGTAATTTTCACTAGGGACATCAGTTTTAAATTTGGCCTGTTAATGGTATGAGTTGTTTCAGAGAGCAGTTCATGGGCATGTGGAACTCCAAGGAAGAGTTCAAGATGGAGACTTCTCCAAAAGGTAATAGAGAGTGTATGGACCAGGGAGGAGCTTTAGGTCAGTGTGAAATATGAAATCATGGTCAGGATAATACTGGTAGTAATAGTCCAGTAAGAAGAGGGTGGGAGTGAGGACTGGGTTTCCTGTTGGGAACCCTGGTTGTGCAAAGTGGGTGTCACAACACAGCTTATGGATAGCAGTTGTCAAGTAGGACATCAGGGAGAGAGTATGCTGTGTCATATGGTCAAGGACTTTAAGGGATGCATGGATGTGAGATGGATTGAAGGCCTAAGAGTAATTCACACAAGAGGAGACTGGAGCTGGTGCATATTCATGGCTCTAAAGACTCACCAGAAGTTTGTTGTGAGCCTTGGTGAGACCTGGGGTGTCCTAGTCAGGCTGGCGAGTTAGTGGAGGGGCATAAGTGATCATCTGTGAGACTCACTGGGCATAGGGTGGAGGGCCACTGGGGCTGGGCCTTCACTGAGTGGGAGGTGGACAGGGAAAGGCTAGACTGGTGGACAGACATCAGGAGCAGCACCAGTGGGGGAGGACTGTGCATATCTGAGGTCTGATGTGGTTCTCAGTGTGTGAGGTTGAAGCAAGGAACAGTCAGGGAGGGAGGCCTTCACAGCAGGACTCCAGGCAGCCCCTGTCAGTGGGGCCCACCAGAGTCTGGGTAGTACCTGATCCTGTTTGAATTTACCATGTATTCTCTGGACCACATATGCTGACTACTGAGTAGAGAGGTCAAGGTGGTGACTGTGGTACAGGGCAGGAGGAGGCTGGGGCTGTGGTGGTACAGGTGTGAGAGAGAGGTGTGGTAGGAAGGTTAAGGTACACTTGGAGGGGGAGTGTGAATTTATGGCCCCAGGTCCCTGGCTTTGATCTAAGAGTGAGTTAAGGGTCAGTCCGTGTCAGGCAGTGTCTGGAAGAAACAGTGTGGGGAACATCAAGAGAATTGCCTGAAAAGAGAGGTTGTAATTCTACATGGCAGGTCCAGAGATGAGAATCCATTTGTCTGCCTACCTGTTTATTTTTGTTGAGGGCTGATTCAATGACCAATAGGATTTAGATAAAACAGGGGAAGTCAGTGCCACCCAGGATTAAAAACCTCCACTGCCCTGGGGAAGGGAGAGGGGTAAGCAGGTAATAGATTATAGGGATGGTGAAATTAAAATCCTAGGAAAGAAGCTGATCAGAGAACAGTCTCTGTCATGGTAGGACTGTGGTACATTTCAAGTTGCCCCTCTGAGAAGGTAGCTGTGTGAAAGAGAGGTGATAAAAAAAATTATGTGCAGAGAGTAGGGTAAACTGAAGGCCTCAGGCCCCTATGATGGGGCTCATAGGTTGAATGGGATGCCATGTTTTTCATGTCTTGTAGGGACAATCTGGGAGACCACAGTGGTATATTGTCAAATCATTCACACCATCTCTGGCTGACTTCTCTTCCTAACCTATGATTGTGACACCCACCGTACTGACAAGAGGCTGCGTGGCCTACCTTCCAGGCTCAGAGCTCAGGCATTGCTATCTGCCCAGCTGCCTGCTGTTGTGGGAACTCATAGTATCAATGGGTATATAAGGAGAGAGTGACACTGATGGCACCAGGGCCCGCTATCTGCTCTGATGTGGGAATGTGAGTGAGCAGATAAATGTGGAGGGTGGGGGGTAGGACAAACTTAGAATCCTAGGAGAGAAGCTGGTCATGGAATGAACTGTCCCCATTCTGACAGGATATGAACTTTGTGGACGTGGCCATTGCCTTCTCCCAGGAGGAGTGGGGACTCCTTGATGAGGCTCAGAGACTTCTGCACTGCGACGTGATGCTGGAAATCTTTGCCCTTGTAGCATCCGTGGGTAAGAACTTCACATTTCTCCTCATGTCCTGAGGTGATGTTCTGCCTTCCCTATTTTCTCCAGAGGTAGAAAATGTCTTTCTCACAGCCAGACCATGGGTTCTGCTAATTTACACCTCTCTGTTGTCATCTGTGCTGTTGCTGCCAGTGCTGAGCTGTGTGGAGTGTCCTGAGTCATGAACTCTCTGAGCAGTTCTAATGTGTGTTGCATCAAAAAGTACAGGGAAGTGTCTGTGAGTCAGGAGTCTTGCTAACAGCTTAATGGATCCCACCTTGCTTGCCTTGTCCCTGGCAGGGTAAATATGTCCAGATCCATGATCTCCAGTTCTGTCCCCCTTTTGTAGCTAACAGTTCATTGTGACTGCCCATGCCAAGTCATGGGCATTACTTACATGAGCCATGGGCTCTTGTAAGATCCTTCTTAAGTCAGTCTTTCTAACGTTGTCTTCACTGAGTAGTATTGTATGCTGAGTTTCTTTGGGTTCATGCTGGCTGGTCACCACTGTTGTCTTTCATTAAAACTTGAATTGTTCACATTCTGAGTACATTAGAGGGTAAAGGGAGAACCCTGGTTTTTTGACAGAGTGGACATGGAAAAATGGTCTCCATGGAAACTAACAGGAGGCTTGGCCCTAGCTGGTGTCAGCTATGGAGAGGGCATGAGATAAAAGCTGTGTTCAAGCCCTGGCTGATGTAGCTCAGTGGATTGAGTGCGGGCTGTGAACCAGAGTGTCGCAGGTTTGATTCCCAGTCAAGGTACATGCCTGGGTTGCAGGCCATGACCCCCAGCAACCGCACATTGATGTTTCTCTCTCTCTCTTTCTCCCTCTCTTCCCTCTCTAAAAATAAATAAATAAAATCTTTTAAAAAAAAGCTGTGTTCAGATCATACTAGAAACCTGTCTTGTGTCCATTAGTGTTTTGTGCTAATGCCACTGGCCACACCTTATTTTTTTTTTCTTTCTCATCCATGACACTCTACTGACTTGTCATTTCATCTGTGACATCCTAGCTCCTGGCTGTCTTCATGTCTGTGGCCTCAATGCATCACCTGTTTCTCTGCACAGCTCCCTCTACAGTATTCTCCAGGATTGACCTGTGCATGCATTATGAAGTGTGCATACATCCTTATGTAGTCCTCAGACACCAGCCTCACATTCATTTAATTTTCCTGGGGAACAAACATAACCCAACCTCCTGAACAGCTTTCCCATGTCACCAGCAGACAAGCCCTGCTAAATGCTGTTAGCAGAAGATTAGTTGGAGATCCTGCTTCTTTTCCATGTAGTGCTTGCCATCTTTGTACCTTTTTCTGGTGAGGTCTCCCCTGTTTTGTTATCTTCGAGGTTCAGTACTGCACAGCAGCACCTTATTCAACCTGCCTCCAGGTCCCTTTCTTTCAGACAATCCTGTGGAACCAGTGTATTATGTCTGACATCTTTGTAATTGGACTTTTCCTCTCCTACCAATATTGACATCCATTTCCTCAGCATTTCTCTGCTTTCAGGTTGTTGGCATAAAAAGGAAAATGAGGAGGCCTCTTCTGAGCAGAGGGTGTCTGTAGAAGGAGAGTCACAGGTCGGGGCTTCTAAGACAGCTCCAGCAACCCCGAAGACCCATCTCTGTGAGCAGTGTGTCTCAGCCTTGAAAACTGTTTTGCACCTGACTGAGTTCCAAGCAGCATACCTTGAGCAGAAAGCATTCTTCAGTGACATGTGTGTGAGAGGCTTCTGTATCAGTGCAAACCATCACCAGCAACAGAGGCCTGCCAGAGGAGAGAAGCTCTGGAAAGGTGGCATGGACAGGGCCTGGTTTGTGACCAGGTGCAGGTGCCATGTATCAGAGACACCTCTCACCAGTAGGGTGGTTGGGAAGGACTTCCTAGCCATTTCAGGCCTTCTCCAGCACCAGGCTACTCCTAATAGTGAGGAACCTCACAATGGTGGGGAAGCCTTTCTCAGTGGAAAAAGTCATCACCAGTGGAGTGAATGTGAAAAAGCTGCCAGCCACAACCACAAACTTGTTCAACATGAGGATGTCTGCTCTGGAGAATGGCTTTATGAGAGTAGCAACTGTGGGAAAGCCTGCAGAAAGCTCTTTGACCTTATTCAGTGTGGGAGAGCTCACCCGGTAGAAAAACCGTATGAGTGCAGTATTTGTGGAAAATGCTTTAACCGAAAATTTTTCCTCATTCGACATCAGAGTGTTCATACGGGAGAAAAGCCATATGAGTGTAAAGATTGTGGGAAGTCCTTCAGCCAAAGCTCTAATCTCATTCAACACCAGCGAGGTCACACTGGAGAAAAGCCAAATGAGTGCAGTGTTTGTGGGAAATGCTTTAGGTATAAATATATACTCATTAATCACCAGAGAATTCATACTGGAGAAAAGCCATATGAATGTAGTGATTGTGGGAAGTCCTTCAGGCAAAGCTCTGCCCTCATTGAACACCAGAGAATACACACTGGAGAAAAGCGATATGAGTGCAGTGTTTGTGCAAAATGGTTTTGCCGCAAATTTAACCTCATTCAACATCAGAGAATTCACACTGGAGAAAAGCCATATGAGTGTAGAGATTGTGGGAAATCCTTCAGACAGAACTCTAAGCTCATTGAACACCAAAGAGTCCACACTGGAGAAAAGCCTTATGAGTGCAGTGTTTGTGGGAAATGTTTTAGCCGCAAATTTAACCTCATTAAACACCAGAGACTTCACAATGTACAAAAACCCATATGACTGTAGCGATTATGGTAAATACTTGAGCTAAAAATTAATCCTCATTCAACACCAGAGAATTCACACTGGAGAAAAGCCTTGAGTGCAGTGATTGTGGAAAATGCTTTAACTACAAATCTAACCTCATTAATTACCAGAGAATTCATACTGGAGAAAAGCCATATGCGTATTGTCAATGTAGGAAATCTTTTAGACAATGCTCCCATGTTACTCATCACCATCAAGGTCATTCTGGGAAAAAGCTTTATGAGTGTAGCAAATGTGGGAAATCATTTAGCCATTAATCTCCTTAAATACTAGAGAGTTCATACTGGAAGAAATTATTAAATATGCTGTGAATGTTTTATTTCCTCACTCCATGTATCAACCCAGGAAGAGGTATCTTCCTCTGAAATCCTTTTACCTGAATTTGAAGCCCTTTTGACAGAACATACACTGTGCTAGGTTCCTCATAAGTTTCAGGTACAAGTACGGCTTTAAGAAGCTGCATTCCACTTTCTAACCTGCCCAAGGGTATTACCTGGTTGATGTCAGTTTTTGTGGTTGAAGCCATTTCACTACTACCACCTGTCCCATCTGCCCAGTGTGCATTAGTCACAAACATAGTGTGCTCAGGGAAGCTGACCTCTATTGTCTCTTTTTCTTGAAAATTTATCAATTTTCTGAACTCTTGGCTTCAGGAATGAAGTATATTCCTTTTTCTTTGATTGGGGAATGAACCTGACTCTGTTTTGTCTCAGAAAACCCATCCTCAGCTAAGAAGCACTATCTGTTTCACCACACTGTTGTTATCATATTATTCTGTGATAAATTTTTACAGATTCTCTTTCATCTACCTAGAAACTGCTTTCTGTACACTGCTCTGGTGTTTGATCTTATTCCAGTGGTCTCTTTGCTATTGTACCTTTAATTTTGGTGTATCTATTTAGTGTGTGAGATGATTTGAAAGTAGAATTGTGATCTGTCAATACAGAGATGAACAGATTTTGTGGGGAATGCAAACTTTTTATGCTTCAGAAGGGGCAGAATGATGGATGGAAGAAAAGTGCTCTTTGTCTAACATTGATTTATTTTGTATCAGTGCCCAAGGCCTTGAAAGAAATACTGCATGGCTTTTGGTCTGTATTTGCAGCCTCATTCTCTGATTATTGGGGAGGTTAAAGGTCACCCTGAAGAAGAGGCTTTTACTGTGCTTCTGTGAGCAACATGAATTTTATTCCCTTTTTCACTTTTATATTATGTAATTCCCAGCTATGTTGAGGGGATATCCTCCACAGGTTGTGCAAAGGACCCACATGCCATAATGTACAAAATTTTGTAGGCTGGTGTCATTTATTGTAAGCCTCTGAGGATTATGTGGAGCCACAATTGGGACAGAAACACTGTATTAATAGTGAATGGAAGAGACTGCAGTAAATTAGATGAAAGGTGCCTCTTCCAAACATTCATCCATGAATGTTTCAGGAACTCTGGCTTGTGTGATCTGTGTGTACAGACATTCTCAGGTCCCCATAACTGTTTCCTGTAGCTGAAGTCACTGGCAGAGAAAATAATCTGATGACACTGTGGATTCTTCTGGCCTCTCTGCCATGTACACCTCAAGGCTGTTGCTCTACAGAAAAGAAAACAAAGATAGAGAGAAGGATGATCTTGTAGGCAGTCCCAGGATGTGTCTATTAATAGTGACCCAGTCAGCATTGGTATTGATTAAATGCCAACAAATCTTCACTGTTTGCTCATATTTGCTGCTGCTAAGGCAGGGCTGCCTCTCTTAGGACATGAGGAGAGAGATGGTAAAACCCATATAGTGTTGCCAATCTAATTTTCTGCAAAACATATGTCTAGGTCTTTATTAGGGACCACTTTTTAAAGCTTTATTCAGGTTTATTTATAATTGACATACAACAAAATGAACTTATCTGATGTGGACTCTTTGGTGAGCTCTGACGTACACATAAAGCTATGACACTGTCACACTGAAATGAAACTTATCTGTCACCCATATAAGGGTGGAGAAAATTTAGGTTTACAGTTGTTAGTTTGCAAAACACAAATTTTAGTCTTGTATTATCATTTATTAATTGTTGTAGTATTTTCCATAAAAACAACAGTGAACTTTCATTTGCCCCACCATCTATTTACCTCCTGCTTTTTTTTCTTAAGATTTTATTTATTTACTTTTAGAGAGAAGGGATGGGAGGGAAAAAGAGAGGGAGAGAAACATCAATATGTGAGATCACATCTCAACTGGGGACCTGGCCTACAACCCAAGCATGTGCCCTGACCTGGAATCAAACCAATTACCTTTAGGTTTACAGGCCAGCACTTAGTCCACTGAACCACAAAGCCAGGGCTACCTCCTCATTTTTTATAATCTTTTTTCTGCCTACCCCGACCCTCTAGGCAATCCTTGATTTATCTTTCTTTATCATAGATTAATTCACATTTTCTATAATTTAATAGGCATTATAAAGTGTATACATGTTAAAAAATACTGGTTTCTTTCATGCTGGACAGTTATTTGGAGATTCAACAATAATGCTTATGTGAACAGTTTATTCTTTTTACTTCTAAGTATTATTTTGTTCTATGGATAGCCACTTTGTTTATCCATTCATTTGCCTATGGTTTGGATTATTTCCAGGTTTGGAATATTACAAATAAAGCTACTGTAAATATCTGCATTGAGTTCTTTATATTAATATATGTTTTATTTCTCAAACTGTTAGAGTGTTGGAGAATGTTTTACATTTTTAGAAATGCAGAAATATGATCTAAAATGATCATTCCCTTTGCTTTTCCACCTACCCACAGTGAATAAAAATTCAAGTTGTTCTGCAATTCTGCCAGCACTTGCTATGATTAGTCTTTGTAAATATTAGCTCTGTAAATCATTGTAGTGGTAGCTCACTTTGATTTTAATTCCATTTTTGTAAGAATTCATAATGGTGGCCATTTTTTCCTACATTCAATTATTCTCTCTTTACTTCCTTTGGTAAAATCTTTTTTGTTTTTTGAACAATTTCCTTTGTTCAGAATCTTTTGCCTATTTTTTAATGAATTTATTATTTTAACCAATAGATAGTGCAGCAACAAAGACATATGTTAGAATTTTATTCATTCCTCAATGACCCAAGTGACTTTGACCCAAGTGACTGCTTTGCCATATGGAACAATTATATTTGAATACTAGATAGAGAATTTTTTCCTCAATTTTTTTATGTACAATTTAAAGCTTACTATTACCATATAGTTATAAATTTAATATGCATTGTTTAATATGTTCTCTACTGGTGGGTAAAACAGGGATAAATGGTAATGGAAAAGAAATACATTCTCAGAAACAAAACACCCCATATTCTCTACCAATTTCTTTAACTCTAAACATTAAGTCAGGTCTAGGTTTGTAATATTTATCCATTTCTCTGGTGTAAATGCTCCCATTGTGATATATTTCTAACTGACAAAATGATGTAACTGAACATGAAGTTGAGACAGGCCAGCAAACCAGGACAAGTGGAATAAAGAAAGGAACAGATAATTATGTGGCCAAGCAAATTACATCCATCTAGTAAGTCACACAATCCTATCTTCTACAACCCAGGGCACTTAAGAATAAATGGTTTAGAAAAAAAAATTTTTTAAAAAAGTAAATAGTTGACAGTAGCACTCCTTCCAACCACATCTAAGGACAGATTAAATTAAGGGACTAAATCTGATTTTGGCACATTCGCATAAAGCTGATTAATATTTTATTAAGATCCTCCCTTAAAAATTCCCCCAAATGCCCAGCCATTAAAACCCTCAAAATGACTTCCGGCAAGATGGAGGCATAGGTGGATGCACCGTACCTCCACGCACAACCAAGATTAGAACAACAACAATTTAGAGCTAGAATAACACAGAACTGATAGAGAATTTATCTGAATGGAAGTCGGACAGCCAAGAAGTTGAAGTAGACCTGTTCACCCAGACAGGTAGGCAGGGCAGAGCCAGGCAGGCGCGGGTCAGCAGCGGTGCGTGGTGAAGGGGAGAACTCGGTGTGAACTGGGCGCAAACTCAGCGCCTGAGCCATCTGGGGCTCGCAAGATCGCAGCGGTGTGAGTGCGCAAGCGGAGGCTGGAGGACCCAGTGAAGCAATGATTGTGGACCAGGGCAGAGCGCGCAACCCAGGATCCCAGAGAAGGGACTGTGTTCCTGGGAGAACGGAACTACCACCATTGTTCCCTCCCGCCCCCCCACACCCATCCCCCACATACAACGTCACAATCTAGCGACTAGGGTGCCCAGCCCAGGTAAACACCTAAGGCTCCGCCCCTCACCATAACAAGAGTGACCAGACCGGAAAAAAAAGGGGGGAAAAAAAGGAGAGACAGGGAGAGGCGTGTTTCCAACAGAAGAACAGATCAGTCCCCCAGGACTCATCCTTTTGAGCGACCAAGAAATAGCCAATCTATCAGATGCACAGTTCAAAACACTGGTGATCAGAAAGCTCACGGAATTGGTTGTTTTTGGGCGCAAATTAGATGAAAAGATGGAGGTCACCATAAAAGAGATGAAGGAAGATGCACGGAGGAGAGCCAATAGTGAAGGGAAGGAAACTGGGTCTCAAAACAATACAGTGAACCAGAAGGAAGATAGAAACAACCAGTCAGGAAAGCATGAAGAAATAAGAATTCAAAAAAGCTTAGGAACCTCAAGGACATCTTTAAATGTTCCAACATCCGAATTATAGGGGTACCAGAAGGGGAAGGGGGAAAGCAACAGATTGAACACATATTTGAACAAATAATAAAGGAGAACTTCCCCAATCTGGCAAAGGAAATAGTCTTCCAAGAAATCCAGGAAGCTCAGAGGGCCCCAAAGAAGTTGGACCCAAGAAGAAACACACCAAGGCACATCATAATTACATTAGCCAAGGTAAAAACGAAGGAGAGAATCCTAAAAGCAGCAAGAGATAAGGGGACAGTCACCTACAAAGGAGTTCCCATCAGACTGTCAGCTGATTTCTCAAAAGAGACCTTACAGGCAAGAAGGGGCTGGAAAGAAGTATTCCAAGTCATGAAAGACAAGGACCTACGCCCCAGATTGCTCTATCCAGCAAAGCTTTCATTTAGAATGGAAGGGCTGATAAAGTGCTTCTCAGATAAGGTCAAGTTAAAGGAGTTCATCACCACCAAGCCCTTATTTTATGAAATGTTAAAGGGACTTATCTAAGAAAAGAAGATTTAAAAAAACATGTATAGTAAAAGGACAGCAAACTCACAATTATTAACAACCACACCTAAAGCAAAACCAAAAGAAACTAAGCAAACAACTAGAACAGGAACAGAACCACAGAAATGGAGATCACCTGGAGGGTTAGCAACAGGGGAGTAGGAGGAGGAGAGAGGGGGAAAAGGTACAGAGAATAAGTAGCATAGAATGTAGGCTGAAAATAGATAGGGGGAGGGTAAGAATAGTATGGGAAATGTGGAAGCTAAAGAACTCATAAGTATGACACATGGACATGAACTAATGGGGGGATATGGGTGGGAGAGGGTATACAGGGTGGAGGGGAGTGAAGGGGGGAAAATGGGACAACTGTAATAGCATAATCAATAAAATAAATTTAAAAAAACCCAAAACCTCAAAATGAAGGTCTCAGTGTGCACTGTGCTTTCCCAGAGAAAACCCACACCTTTTTATTACTCTTCCTTTCCCCCAAAAGGCATGCACCTTTTAAATTCTAAGGGTCCCCAAAAGACTTGCAACCAGGACAATAGTGGGCAGTGGCAGGTTGTCCCAGACTGGCCCCCTGACTCTTTCATCATGGCCCTGTTCTCTTTGACTCTCCAGTATGCTGGTATTAGCCCCTCCTTGGCTCACTTACTTCCTCATGAGGTTTCCAGAGAGCTGTAATAGCCCCACCTAGTCTTTCTCCTATTGCTTTTTTTATCCTAAGCTTTTCCTTCTTTCACTGTCTTCAGCTTTAATAAACATACTCTCAAAATCACCTGTTGAAATCTTGCCAGCACAAAGTCGAGAACCTATACACTACAGGCCAGCCCTAGGCAAACCTGCTCCAGTCCCAGTTTCTAGTAATACAGTTATGCCAGAGACATCTCTGTGAAGACAGATCAATGTATGATTTGCTTACAAGAGTTGGATGAAAATGGGTTAGCCCACACTAAGTTCGGTGTTGGCTCAAGTCACAAAACATTCTTATTGAGGGGAATTTCCTCACTCCTAAATATTTCCCTTCTATGTTATCCAACTATCTTAGTCATGCCCTCTGGGTGTATTGGAATAGAGAATCAAATGACACCCAGGGATCCAATTGTATATCCTAGAAGATTTTAGCAACCAAAACTAAATGGAGGTAGCCATAAAGGCACATCCTCTGAAGATCTTATACTTGATTTGAAGTCCCGTGGCAGCGTACACATTCACAGAATAAAGAAATGGCAGCCAAAGTGCCAGCTGTACCTTCCCTGGCATGGTAGGCTGTTTAATGAATCCAGTTAGGCAGCCAAGAGCAATCTTGCCTCAAGGCATGCTCTTCTATCTAAACTAGTAACCCTGCTCCCTACACAAATTATCTCGATTATACCCACAGGGTTTTAATTTACAGAGGTGACTGCATGATGACATGGAGAGTTTAATGTATCTGTAAGAAGTTTTCATTACAGTTCCCAAGAGTGGCAATACGCTGTGCCAACATGTGGCCATGTGACAAAGCAATAGTGCTGTTTGGAAGGCACAAAGGATTGAGGAGAACATGGGCACAATCCTTTCTGTTATGGTGGCCAGTGATGCAGGCTGTGAAAGACTTCATGAAGAGAAGAAAACACAGCGAAGTTTTATTTTTTTTTACTTTCGCAGGAGAGGGAAGGGGCTAGGAGCAGAGAAATGCACCAGCCCTGAGGTTTTATTGCGGGATAAAGGGGAAGAGGAGCTGTAGCTGGGTAGTCGTGGCAATTAGTTGTAAATCAGGAGGTTTCGGGCTTCAGTTTGTTTCACTGTTATCTTTGGATTCAGGGTCCAGGTGCTCCGGTTCAGTATGTCCTCTTTGTATATGTTTTAAAATACCTGGGTGGGAGATGCTTCTAATCTCTCCAATCCTGAGAATAGAGGCTCACAGAAATAACAGTTAATTATGCCTGACAGACTCAAGGAAAGAGAGATCTGGTAAAAAGAGCCTGAAAAAGGCTTTTTTGTCCTTTCACTTGCTTGTGGTTTCCTTGAGAAAGGTGAGTCAGTGTAGCACATAGG